AACACCTCCTGCCTCCTCATATAATCTCAAGGCCTGTGATTACATATTGCATATTGAAGTCACTTCTTTTTTCTCTTTCATAGACATGAATGCCTTCCAACGCACTGTTGTTGATAGAATATAAAACTGTAAGGTAAAAATATCTCAGGGTTTTGCCTTTGAATATAGAATCTAACCTTTCCACCATATTTGGTATTTATTTAGCGAGAGTACTCAAGTATTTGCCACACTCTTTTTTAGTTTGTTTGTTTGAGACAGTCTTGCTCTGTTGGCCAGGCTGGAGTGCAGTGGTGTGATCTTGGCTCACTGCAACCTCCGCCTCTTGGGTTCAAGCAGTTCTCATATCTCAGCCTCCTGAGTAACTGGGATTATAGGTGCATGCCACCATGCCAGCTAATTTTTGTATTTTTAGTAGAGATGGTGTTTTACCATGTTGGCCAGACTGGTCTCGAGCTCCAGACCTCAAGCAATCCACGCGCCTCATCCTCCCAAAGTGCTGGGATTACAGGTGTGAGCCACTGCGCCGGCATTGCCACACTCTTAAGTCATTTTCAGCTTGAATTCAGGAGTCACCATGCAGGACACTGTGAACCTGTAGAATATTCTAAAACTTAGAAATAAATATTAATCCTCAGAAATTAGAAATTTCTTTTCCAAGTTTTTCATTTTCCATTTCTTGCACTATTTGTTGTTACAATCTGTGTTTACTATAATTTTTCCAAATTAAATATTAATTTTGTCTCTGTTCTACTTATTTGATTTATTCAGTCATTCCCTCCTACTTTTCAATTATTCAGCCTATTAAAAGTACAACTATTTCTTTTCTGGAAAAAATAAGCCAAAGCTAGAAATTGTTCAAGCAGGAGATTTTGTTTGTGAAATGAACGTGAACCTCACTAAAATAGCAATGTGTTACATACTGGACTGGCATGCACACAGAAAACAGCAAATTGATCTGTAAGGCACTGTTGTAGTAAAGGAGTGCAAGTTACAATCTCAGCTGAATGATAAAAGGTAATTTATATGAGAAGATTACAGGTCAGGAAATGATTTATTCCAAATGCAAATACTTGAGTGCATTGTTCAATAGAGACAAAACATTTCTGTGTAGGCTATTTCACAGACATGTGAGATTTTAATTGGTATTCTAAAGATACACTATTGGTATGAGGAAGTGTTGTGAGGAGGGCATTTTAGAGCAGATTTTAGTCTAGGGCAATTTTTTGTCCGTTACAAATCCTTCTGAGTCTTTCAGTGCCCTGTAAATTATGAAGTTAATCACTCCAACTGTTGGGAACAGGAACTATTCCAAATTCAGGTGAACTTAAAGAATTTTAATGTCTGATTCTTTGTTGTTTCATCCACATTTGTGTAGCTTCTTAAGTTAAGCACATAGGCTGGGTCGATTTTTTTTTTTTAAATAGATGGGCTCTGACTTTGTTGCCCAGGCTGGTCTTGAACACCTGGGCTCAAATGATCCTTCTCGCCTTGGCCTTCCAAAGTGCTAGAGATACTGGCGTGATCCTCCATGTCTGGCCCAGGTTGGTCAATCTTTATCTCATTGCTTAGAGAGAACCTCCTCTGGAAATCTTTCTCTCTGGGTAGCTTATTCCTCTCTGGTATTGTGTCCTGAGAACTCCAGAGTCTTAACCTCCCTGGACTTCTTTCTAGCCTTATGTCCTTGACTTACAAAGGCTCCTGAATCCCATGTGATTTCCCCCTTCTTTGCAGGATAGTTTGGAAACTCTTTAGTCAGTTAAACTGGTGTGATCAGAAAGCTTACATAATATGTCTCCCATAACCTAGTCCATTGCCCTTTGTTGCATCTTAAAAATTGTTTCATCTATTTTTTCCAGGTTTTTTGTTGTTTCAGGCAGAAACATAAATGCCAACTCTGCTAATTCATCTCACTGAAAACAGAAGTCTGCTTATGAAATTTTAGATTTTTGTTATTAAAATTTAAATAAAATGTACGTATTGGGTACCCAATAGATGTTAGCCCCAAAGCTGCAAAATACTGGTTTGTGGAAGTGTTTTGTTGGTTTATATGACAATTTAAATTGGGGGACTTTAAACATAAAAACTGGATTTGGGATTTCTTTTGATAAGTTTATACTGTAATATTTTGTTTGCATTTCAGCATTTAGCTGGAGCTGAAAAGATTCCTAGTTTAGTCAGAGCATACCCTCTCTAAATTGTTACCTTAATTTTTCCTTTTTTTTTGGAAACTCAATTTATATTGTATGGGCCAGGTACAGTGGCTCATACCCATAATCCCAGCACTTGGGAGACTGAGGTGGGAGGATTGCTTGAGGCCAGGAGTCCAAGACTAGCATGGGTAACATAGTGGGCCCCCATCTGTACAAAAAATAATTAACTGTGGTGGTACATGCGTGTAGTATTAGCTACTAGGGAGGCTGAGGTGGGAGGGTCACTTGAGTGCCAAAAGTCGAGACTGCAGTGAGCCATGATCGCACCCTTGCACTCCAGCCTAAGCATCAAAGCAAGACCCTGTCTCAAAAAAAAAAAGTATATTGTTTCTTACCCAGTAGAGTTTGAGTTTGAAATTTGTCATTGAGAAGATACGAATATTATCATCATGGTTTGTGAATGATAATTGAATTATTAGTTATTCCTGATGTTACAGTTAAGCCATTGCTGCTGTTTTTTAAATTCTTGATACCTAAATAAATAAATAAATCCCTTAGGCCGGGCGTGGTGGCACAAGCCTGTAATCCCAGCACTTTGGGAGGCCAAGGCAGGCGAATCACCTGAGGTTGAGAGTTCAAAACCAGCCTGACCAACATGAAGAAACACCATTTCTACTAATAATACAAAATTAGCTGGGCATGGTGGCGCTTGCCTGTAATCCCAGCTACTCGGGAGGCTGAGGCAGGAGAATCGCTTGAACCACAGTGGGAGCGGCAGAGGTCGCGGTGAGCCAAGATTGCGACATTGCACTCCAGCCTGGGCAACAAGAGCAAAACTCCATCTCAAAAATAATAATAATAATAAAATACATAAATTCCTTGTTTGAGATCCATGTATATAGGAAAACAGATTATATTTATTGTGTTTATAACCTATGGTAGGTTGACAGTGAAGAGAAGAGCTCAGGACAGTTAATGAAAGCATCACCTTTTTTTTTACTGAGATCTCTTATGTAAGGAAAGCATTCAGTTAGTCTTAGAATTGTCATGAAAGTTAATTTAAGGAATATTCATAGCATTGTGGTCGTCATCTTAGGTATTCTGTCTGTGAATTTCTGTTTTTAGGTATAATCTAAAAGTTCTGTAAAATAAACATTAACAATGTACGCTTCTTACGGCTGTTCTAGGTCTCTGTGTTTTTATTGTGAACTTTTATCTGATCTTTTCAAGTTTTTGTCTCGTGGTATTTTTTCCTCAATGCCAGTTAACAGTGGTTAAACAAAATAGATAAGGTTTTCCTTCTAAGTCCAGAAGTAGACATTCCAGAGTTGATGTGATCATTTAAGGATGCCAGGGCTGTTGAAAACTGGGCTGTTGTTCTCTTGGTCTTTTCCTCATGGTCAGTTACAATATAGCTCATACTGTGGTTGTCTTCCTTAGTTCAGCTCCAGGCAGGAAGGAGGAGGAAGCAGAAAAGGGCAAGAAGGCTCATGTTGTTAGGCACACAATGGGTAGGTTCAGTCACTTGGTGGGTGACAAGTCCAGTGACCACAACCAAGTAGGGTTTAACAGGGAGATTTTATTACTTGCACCAAGTAAGGAGTACACTAGGGATAGTCCCAAAGACAATGCTTCCCCAAAGGTGAACACCCGGGCTAGTTAGCTGAGTCATTGTATTAGAGGTGGAATAAAGGCAGTGCAGGCACATTTATCATGCTTTTACATACATCAGATGTGTAGAAAATGGCACATAAGCTACTTCCTGGGTGGGGATTTTAGTATGGTAGTGAGGAGAGTTTGCCAAAAGTTAATCTCCAATTTAGGCAAACTCTGTACCCAACCACTGGGCCAAGCTTCTTTCCTGAACTTCTTGAAACTACAAGAACTCAAGGTGCAACAGTTACAAAAAGTTACAACAGTTTCTTTTTCTTTTTCTTTTCAGAGGGAGTCTCCCTCTGTTTCCAGGCTGGAGTGCAGTGGTGCCATCTTGGCTCACTGCAACCCCTGCCTCCTGAGTTCAAGCGATTCTCCTGCCTCAGTCTCCCGATTAACTGGGACTACAGGCATGCACCACCATGTCCAGCTAATTTTTGTACTTTTAGTAGAGATGGGGTTTCACCTTGTTGGCCAGGATGATCTCCATCTCTGGACCTTGTGATCCACCTGCCTCGGCCTCCCAAAGTGCTGGGATTATAGGCGTGCACCACTGCGCCTGGCCACAAGTGTGGGTACTTTTTCACAGTGAATACCCAAAAACCTGGGGACCCTGAGTTACAACATCACTTTAGTTTGCCCCCCTAGTCAAGGAGCTTTCTAAAACTCACCCGAAGTCATCTCAAATATTACATCTTATTTACCAGAATTATGTCATATTATCGTTTCTGTCTTCCAGAACCTTAAAAATTTTAGGATAGTCCATTATTGCCCCTAGCAAAATCAGTGTTCTTTTGGTAAGAAAGCAGGAGTAGATGGATACTGTATTTGCAACTTGAAGTCCCTACCTCAGAAACCACCATACTTTAGGAGCCTTCTGTTATACCCATAGGTTGGCCTCCTCATTTTCCCTGTGTCCCTTCTGAAAGCATAAACTACCATATGTCATTCATATATATTTTGGTACATTAATCTTATTTTTTTTCCCTTAGCTTTTATTTTCTTAACTTCCTCATTAATTAAGTTGGTCTTTTTGAATGAGATGATTGTTGTCCCCTTCAGATGTTTTGAAGGCAGGAAAAGTGATTAATGTTTGTAAGTCAATATATGTTATAATATTTTATTGTTCATACTCTGTGATTTCCTCCTTTCACAAGCCAGTAGATATACTTGGTTATAAAGTCTATAATTCCTGAATTTGTTGGCTTTTCATCACCATCTGCACTGGTTTTATTGTTATCTAATATAGGTGTTGAGCCATTGTCACTTTTTTAAAAAAATAGTTTTGCCAGGGTCAGTGGATCACATCTATACTCCTAACACTTTGGGAAGCAAGGTGGGAGGATCGCATGAACCCAGGAGTTCGTCTTCACCAAACGAAACAAAACAAAACAAAACAAAAATTAGCCGGTATGGTGTTGCACACCTTGTAGTCCCAGCTACTTGGGACGCTGAGGTGGGAGGATCTCATGAGCCCCGGAATTCCAGGATGCAGTAACCTGTGATCATGCCACTGCTCTCCAGTAAGTGAGCTCTTGTCTCTAAAATAAATAAATTACATAGTTTGAGATACAATTTACATAGCATAACATTCAACCTTATAAAATTCATTGATTTATAATATACCACAGAGTTGTGCAACCATGACCACTATCTAATTTTAGAATAACCCCAAAGGAAACCCACTATCCATTAGCAGTCACTTCTTTTCCTCCTCCTGCCACTTCCAGCCCCTTGGCAGCCACTTATCTACTCTCTGTCTCTGTGGAAATGTCTGTTGTGAACATTCCTTATAAATGAAATCATATAATCTATGCCCTTTTGCGTCTAGCTTTCTTTCACTTAATATAATGCTCTCAAGATTTATTCATGTTGTAGCATGTTGTTAAGACAACTTCCTTATCAGATAATGATTTGCAATACTTTCTTCTATTCTGTAGCTTGTCTTTTCACTCTCTTGATTTTGATGAAGCCCAGTGTATATTTTCTTTTGTTGCTTGTGCTTTTGGTGTCACATCTAAGAAACCATTGCCCAACTCAATGTCACAAAGATATTCTTCTGTGTTTTCTTCTAGGAGTTTGGTAGTTTTGGGTCTTACATACTGGTCTCTGATTTGTTTTGAGTTAGTTTTGTATATGGTGTGAAGTAGTTTCCCAACTTTATTTTTTTGTATGTGGAAACCCAGTTGTCCCAGTACTATTTAAGAGACTCTTCTTTCCCCCATTGAGTTGTCTTGGAACCATACCAACTTTTTTTAAAAAGTGACTTTAGAAATAGTTGTGCATAAATAAGCATGATTTTTTATTCTTAATATTGAATCTGGATATTTAGAAATGGGATAGAGTTTTTAGTCCTTAGATAAGAGCTTACTTCCCTGGTTATAATGACTAGGATAGCAAGTAGCTCACAGTAGGAACTCCGAATAGGTTTGTTGAATATATATGGATGGTCTCTTGAGACGAAGTTGAGTGGGTGAATTTAAATGCTGTTGGAGCATTCAGTTAGAGATACTAAAATCATAAACATTCTTAATTGTAGTAATATAGTGCTATAATAGGCATAGTGATGAAAGAGTCTTTTTTTTGCTTTGGGATTTTTACTTTGTGCTGAGTATTCATACTTGTTTGAGATGCCAAGGTGCTGCTTTCTCAACTGGCAAATGTTTTAGAATAAGAAAGACCTTTGCTCATAACATTTTCCTTGCAGGCTACTTTAAATTTTGCCTTCAATCTGAAAGCCTATGTAACATTGTATCAACTCTTTTTATGCCTCTGTGTTGGTCATTAATGCTGTTTACCAAATAGTTTTTGTTCTCATCCTTCATGTTAGGGGCTGTGACTAACTCTGGCCAATAAGTGAGTTGTGAGAAAAACAGATGTATGAAAGAAAATTGTGCATCCTAATATTGCTGTAGTATTTAAGTTCCAGTATGAGATCTTCAGAGCTGTCTTCTTTTTTTTTCTTCCGTCCTTGGATCCTGAGGCAACATTTTGAGGTGATATTCCCCCTGAGTTAAAAAAGACCTGTCAGACTGGGCTCGGTAACTCACACCTGTAATCCCAGCCCTTTGGGAGGCTGATGTGGGCGAATCACCTGAGGTCAGAAGTTCGAGACCAGTCTGACCAACGTGAAGAAACGCTGTCTCTACTAAAAATACAAAATTAGCCAGGCGTGGTGGTGCGTGCCTGTAATCCCAGCTACTTGGGAGGTTGAGGCAGGAGAATCGCTTGAACCCGGGAGGCAGAGGTTGCGGTGAGCCGAGATTGTGCCATTACACTCCAGCCTGGGTAACAAGAGTGAAACTCCATCCCCCACCCCCCACAAAAAAAAGACCTGTCAATAAGCAATGGACAGCCTGAAGAAGGAAATTTTATTTTAAGCCACAGAGATTTTATGGTTCTTTGTGTAGCTGCATAACCTGGCTTACCTTGACTAAGTATTTTTTTCTTGTTAGATTCTGAGACTTAAATAAAAGTATTATAATAGTATAGATATTTCAGAAGTACTTAGATAAAAGTCAAAGATAAGGGAAATATAAGATACATGGTATTCAACAATTAGCATTTTTGAGTTTTAGTTTCTTGCCCTTATTGTTTCCTCCCTTTTTTTCATTGGTCTTAATTTTCTTGTATGTTTTGTTTCCATACTCTTAGCTGGTGAGGTAATCATGATCAATGGTAACTTGAATTGAAGAATGGTTTTATTCCAGTACGTGTTTCTGCTTACAGTCACTGAAAAGTTTCTCATGTATTCCAAAGTTCTGCTTCTGTGCAAATTTAGTTCCTACTACATCAAGAAAGGAATTTTAAGGATCAGAACTATAGAAAGGTTCAGTTGATGTCTTTGACCTGTTGAACACTGTTCTGACATTTCAGGTAGTGAATGTTTTGTAATGAGTGAGTCTTTTGTAATCTTTGTGAAATAATTTGTAAAATTTAGTTAATTGATCTTCTGTCAATATTAATGCAAGTTAACTTAGAGAAAAATGTTCTTTACTGGCACTGTATAATTGAAATCAGGGTTACAAAGAATATTCTTAGTACATAAACTAAGTATATACATTTACAAAGGAGAATTTCATTTTTAAAAAGTAATTGGTATAATTCCTTTACTGTGAAAAGAAAAATGTTTTCCTGTTTTTAAGGTGACTTGTTTTTTTAGTCCTGTCCTCTCATATGAATTCCTTCATTAAATCTATGTTGTTTGGTAAAGTAATTGATCAGCTGTCTTAGTAAATAAATAAATAAATGAATGAATGTACTTTTAGGGCTGAAAGTTGATTTTTAATGATAAAGTACAGTGGAGAGGAGGGCAGAGGGGGCTAAACCAAACTGTCTGGGATGCTGTGGTGGTGGTGGGCTGGCTATACAAACTGCTGCTGCTGCTGCTTCTAGGTGGCTGCCTTGCTGGTGAGGTCCTTGCCTTCTCTGTAGCTACCAGTGCCATCTCCTTTGCGTGCTCCTTGGTTTCCTTGGCTGTCTCAACAAGTGTTTTAGAAGGGGCCTCGCATTGCATCTTTGCCAAGATATATTCAAAACCCTTCATAGTCTTGATCACGTTGCTTTTGAACCGGGCAAGACCAAATTCCTGGACATCTCTGTTAACACCAAATAAGCTAGAGGAGACCCAGGCTTCCCTGCAGATTTTAGTTCAGCCACTGTTGTCAGAGTTTACACAGTGCATACATCATTTCTCCACCACCATCAGCTGGGCATGGTTGTTGTTCCAGGTGAAGGTGGTCATGGTCTGATTCTGTGGGTCCACATAGAGTCCTTCAGGATGTACACCAAGTGAACAACATTGACAGGAAACAGTTGCTTGGCCCAGTGGGGCATCCTGTTGGTCTTGGTCAGGAGTCGCCGGGACAGCAGTTTCTGGTCAGCGGTCGCTGCCTGGTGTACTGTGTCTTCTGTCAACACATGTTTGCTATAGGGGTTCGGGTACTGCTGCCAGAAGTTGGCGAACACTTGGTCCCAGGAACTCTGGAGCACGCTCTGGCCCAGGAAATACTTGACCATTGTCCCGGCCGGAGTGGTCTCAGCACCTGTGTAGCATCAGGGGTGTGGAGCCTGGGAGACACGCGGGGGCCGGAGCTTGGTGAACAACTGCCACCAGGCTCGTAGCTCGAGTCACCACTGCACCGTGCCCAAGCATCTGCTGCCGCCACCGCAATGAGTTGTCCACTGTCTTAATATATCTTAAAGACTTGTGTATAGCAAATGCTGTTATAAGTGTGGCCGGCATTACTTACATACAGAAACCACATTATAAACCATGATACTTATTTTTAACGAGGATGTCTTAAAGTTATTTTTGAATCTGTGTACTTTTAAAGGAAATAATAGAAGCAAAGGGAATATTAAAACATCTGATTGGTAGTTTTATACTTGATGATAAAGTATATTTTTAACTATGCTAAATCAGTAATGGAGGTGAAGCCAAGTACCTTACTAATTTTCTGTCTTTTTCTCTTTTGGAGAAAATATTATCTTGTACTAGATATAGATACCGAGAGTAAGACTTGTAAAACTAGTGGTGAAAAGGAAAAAAAACAACAAGAAACTTTATACAGCTTTTTCATTTTCTTTCTTGTGAAATGAGATTTTCGTAAGGATAGTAAATAACCTGTGGCTAAGATATGCATTGGGGATGACTTCATTGTCTTTTGTTTGTCTGTTTGTTTGTTTTGATACGGAGTCTCCCAGGCTGGAGTGCGATGGCGTGATCTTGGCTCACTGCAACCCCGCCTCCTAGGTTCAAGCCATTCTCCTGCCTCAGCCTCCCATGTAGCTGGGATTACAGGTGTACACCACCACACATGGTTAATTTTTGTATTTTTAGTAGAACCGGGGTTTTCACCATGTTGGCCAGGCTGGTCTCGAACTATCAACCTCAGGTGATCCACCTACCTCGGCCTCCCAAAGTGCTGGGATTACGGTGTGAGCCACTACGCCCAGCCCCTTCTTTTTAAATACACATTGTTTTTATAATAAATGGTCTCTGTCTCCTCTATGATCTCAAAAAATGTTTCATTGTATTTTTATCTTTAAATTTTATCACCTTGTATTTGTGATCTTTTAAAAAGTGATATGGGATTGTATTAGTTTGCTAGGGTTGCCATAGCAGAATATCATAGACAGGTAGCTTAAAAACAGAAATTAATTTTCTCACAGTTCTGGAGGCCACAAATTCAAGATCACGGTGCCATCAGGGTTGGTTTCTAGTGTTGGCTCTCTTCCTGGGTTGCAGAAGGCTGCTTTCTTGCCATGTCCTCACATGGCCTTCTCTATGTGTGACAGGGTAAAAGAAGCAAAGAGGAAGTGAAGCTCTGATATTTCTTCCTCTTATAGGGATGCCAGTCTTAATCAGATTTCACTTCAGGGTCTCACCCATATGACCTCATTTATTCTTAATTATCTCCTTAAAGGTCCTATCTCCAAATATAGTCAGTCACATCAGGGGTTAGGACTTCAATATATGAATTGGGGGAAAGGAGCACAGCAGTTCATAATAATAACAGAAAAAGTGCACAAAGTACAGATGTGCAACTCAGTCATTATGAAGAACACCTGTGTAACTATCCCCTAGATCAAGAACTAGAACGTTGCCAACACTCCAGAAGCTCCACAGTTTCAACTTCTCAGCCATCACAAATCTTTTCTTCTACTTAGAGATAATTGCCAACTTTATGGCAATAATTTTCTTGCTTTGCTCTATATAGTTTTGCCAGCT